CTTGATCAGAAATTGATGATACAACTAGTAGCACTTAACAGAGAATGAGTGAGAGCCAGTCTGCATTGAAACAACAAGAACAATGGTTTATAAAGTTTGATGCACTTGAAATAGTGTGCACACTACATACTAAAGGGGCGGTCACACTGCACTTTTCATTCCATTGACTTCCATTCATACGCATGCGAATGCTTCAGACCGGAAACGCAAACTCGTGCGAAAAATTTCGCATTTCGCTGCGTTCCAAAGTTCAAGTTTGGTGAACTGAATTTGCATCACGTGAAGACGTGTGACCAGTAGAAGATCGATACATCACTGCGTGACCTCTCTGTATAGAAATTCAAAAATGGAGGAAGCGCTCATTTTAGCCGTAGTGCAGCGTCCTATTTTATATAATACATCTTTAAAAGATCATAAAAATCAAATAAAAAAAAAAGAAGCTGCATGGTTCGCAGTGTCAATGGAAACAGGAACAGATATTTGAATGTGGACACATTTTATTATTTTTTATTGCTTAGTGTGTATGTACATATATAAATATATATGAGAGAGAGAGAACAATATAATTACAATACACAAGTGTATTATTAAATTACTTAATGTTGTTCCATATTTCATATTTATATTATCACTCATTTTAAAATTAATTTTGCACACCACAGGAACTTATAAAATGACCTATTTAAAGGGGAAAAACCTACAGCACTTAAAAAATTCTCCTCTCCAGACGCTTTCGACGCCGTCGCAAAAGATACAGTACAAGCACATAGGAATGTTGATATTCTCTGTATTTTTATATTTGGTACCTTGGCATTAATTGGCTAATTATTGGCTTTATTTAAAAAAAAAAAAAAAATAGCACATCGGAATCCATTTTGTGATAACTGAGGGGAAACCTTAGCGCGTGATGTCATATCCTGCTCCCGCCCATATTCGCAGCGGCGTCCGAAAAAATTTAGCACGTTCAAAGTCTAGTGTGACCGCCCCTTAAGCCCTAAAGAGCTCACCCTTATGCCGAGTTCAGACTGCATGATTTTTGCCCGATTTTTCACTCGCCGACAGGTTTTGCGAAATCCCCGACAAATGCCCAAAATCGGAGGAAAATTGGTGCTCGTTCACGCGAGTGACAATCACGCAGTGTGAATTATCAAAGATGCGATCTGAGGGAATCGCCATATATATACTGTATATATAATTTCCCCTCCAATAATTTTCTTTTTATTAACCGCAGTGGAAAAACACATTTCCCAGAATTCTCTCATTAAATATAGCTACACATTTTGATGTCAGTATAAAATTGCTTAATATAAAGTTCTTAATAAATAGGAATAACTGTCTAAACGAACATTTCTTGGTCCTACGCCTTCCACAGAATATATAAATACAGATAAATACATTTAGACCACTTAACTTAATGATTGCTATCGGGATGTGAAGAGACTTTAAACCAGCATAACAAAAAAAATTTCTGAAGACAATCACCTATTGCATATTTATTCTATTTATTAGATAGAATTTATTCTACTTTGATCGCTTCTGTAGACAGCTGTGTTTATATCCGAACTATAAACTTTTATTCCAGTAGGCTACTTCTGTGATTATTTGAATGTTTGTAATGCCGAGTTCACACTGCACGATTTTAGCCCGATCTTTCACTCGCCGACAGGTTGTGCGAAATCGCCGACAAATGCCCGAAATCATAGGCAAATTGGTGCTCGTTCACGCGAGTGACAATCACGCAGTGTGAATTATCAAAGATGCGATCTGAGGGAATCGCCGATGCGGCGCTGACGCCCGTGAAATATTTGGCATACTAAATATCTGGAGCTGTCGACGATTCACAATCACGCTGTGTGAAATGAGTTCTGACTGAAAAACACATCGGCGATGACCTACAGCCAATGAGAGACCAAGATACAGGGCAGCGGGAAGTTCGGGGATGAGTTATATGAAACGTAGTTTGCGGACCAGTGTTGCCAAATCTGCGATTTCCGCCGGTTGTTTTTTACGTCAGCAGGTTGAAGCGACCCCAATAACGTGATATTTAGGCCCTGGAATGTGAATTGTACCAGGAGAACCCCACCAAAAAAAAATTGTATTTTAACCCCCGAACGCGATTTTTACTGGGGGACCCCCTCGAAAGCAATTGGGCTATTTTCAGGCTAGTTTTGAGTAGTAATTGGGCGGGTTTTGTAGCGAAAACCTACACCAGACAGAGCTGTCGGCGATTATTCCTATTGTGAAGTCATGCAATGTGAAACCCCCTGTCGCCGATCCATCATGCAATGTGAACATAGCAGCAACTGAATGCTACCCCAGATAGGCACGCAGTGGGAAAACAACGGCGATCCGACGAGTTTGAAAATTGTGCAGTGTGAACTCGGCATTAGCTAGTTCTGAGACTTAGCCTAATGTTTATGATCAGCCCTGAAATAACTTCAAATACAACAAATGCTCAAATTCAAGGCTAAACTCTCGGAGGGGATTAATTTAACTTTGAATAGTCAAGAAAACTTGAACATCGAGAAGGGAAAAAAACAAACAGTTTTAAAAAATGAGAAGTGCTGGGGACACTGCTATTCTTACAATGAAGTACATGTCATTATGCCTGCCACTGATTACAAGGTCATGAGGAACAAATACAACACACTCCAGCAATCAAAGAGAACAACACTGCTACAATAACCCCTCATTTATAATACTGTGGCCAAATACACAACTGGACAAAAGTTTGGGGTCGGCAGAGGTTTTTTTTTTTTTATGTATTTTGAAGACATCTCTTATGCTCACCAAGGCAACATTTATTTGATCAAAAATACAGTGAAAACAGTATTATAGTGAAATATCATTTCAGTTTAAAATACATCTGATTAGATTTTAAAATGTAATTTATTCCTGACATGGCAAAGCTGAATTTTCGTCATCATTACTCCAGTCTTCAGTGTCACATGATCCTTCAGAATTTATTCTGATATGCTGATTTGGTGCTGAAGAAACATTTATTATTATTATCAATGCTGAAAACAGTTGTGCTGCGCCTTTTAATATTGTTGAAGAGATTGTGAATCATTTGTTTTCAGGATTCTTTAAAGAATTGAAAGTTCAAAAGAACAGCATTTGCTGGAATAAAGAAATATTTTGTAAAATTATAAATGTCTGTCACTTTTGATCAATGATCAAGTCCTTGTTGAATAAAATATTAAAGGGGTCATGAACTGAAATATCTAAATTCCCTTGATCCTTTGACACGTAAGAGGTCATTGTACTATAAAAACATCCTGTACGTTTCAGAACTCAAAACTTCCCAGTAAGTCTAAAAACTGCTTATATTGAAGCCAATCTGGCGGAATGTGCCGCTCTATGACGTAACAGTGTGGCTAAACCCCGCCTCTGCAGAAGATCATCAACACCTGCTTCTACATCACTGCATGTTTAGCTCCGCCCACCGATTCACACATGTAGTGTAAATAACAAGAGAGGCAAACGCAGAAACCAAACGATAAACATGCTGTTCAGTGCCAAGTTGTGGAAAAACACAGTCTTTGCATTGCTTTCCTTCTGATCCCAACATTAGAAAAGAGTGAATGAACTTTATTTTTAATGAATATCCAGACCGCCTCAGTAAGAACTTGGTCCTTTGTTCACTTCATTTTTAGGGTTGTGACGGCGAGGAAATTTTCCCACCGGTTAATCGACGTGTGACAACACCGGTAATACCGGTATCACCGCGGGGCGTTCTCTCTTTTCCTCGCTTTTAAATAGCTTGTAAAAGCGTTGTGCACATTTTACTTTCACTTTGAAATAACGGCAATTCGGAGTAAAGCAATTGTTCGGTTGAATTTTCCCTCTTTTCCTCGCTTTCCGTCGCTTTTAAATAGCTTTAAAGCACCGTGCGCATTTTACTTTCACTTTTGAATTAGCGGCAGTTCGGCATCAATTGCTTGAATGCAACAACAAAATACAATGTCAAACTCACTTTAGCCTATATATAAAACATAGAACTTTTATTAACAAAACAAATACATGCTATAGGGAAGGCTATGCCGAATTAGAAATGTTTCTTGAGCACCAAATCAGCATACTATAATGATTCTTGAAGGATCATGTGACACTGAAGTTGATTTTAAAACACATTCAAACAGAAAACAGTTATTTAAAATTGTAATAACATGTCACTGTTTTAGTGCGCTTAAGATCAAATGAATGCAGCCTTGAGCATAACCTCTCCAACCCTAAACCTTTGAAAAGTAGTGTACTAGAACAAGTAACTACAAATAAATCACTAATACTTAGTAATGCTGATATGGTTACTGAAATATAGTAATATATCAAAAACTACACCAGAATGAACAATGGAGAATGTATCGTGGGTGTCCATGTAACATATAAGAGCTAAATCTAATTTAGTTTTACAAATGGTCTCCCCCAAACTCCCCCTTTACAGCTGAAGTACTTAACACTTAACCCCTCTCATTTACCCTACAAAATGTCGTGATGAGTTTCCCTGAGCCAGCAGCACTCGATGCTGACCCCACAGCCCTGCCCTTGCCTTCAAACAGAGCTGTGGGTTAATACTGCTGACCCGCTTGAAACAGCAGATGCAGCAGTCTGAACACCACAGGATACCCAGCTCTCTCCCACAGGAACACACAGTCTTCACTTGCACTACCTGTTCCTCCCCACTGAAGCATTGAAGGAATAAAACCATGAGCACATGAACATATGACTGTCCATATTTAAACAATGTCTATTCAGTGTTCAGCACCTTGGTCCTGATGAACAACAGTAGGAGCTATGCAGGTACATAGAGGTTTACATACATACAGTCTTAAAGCACACATTTAGCATCTTAATGCACATAAAGCTCTGAATGTGTGCGGTGGAGCTTTAGATTTCTCTGCTGCATGTCACCGTGCTATAAGTAAGACATGCATCACCAGAAAGTGTGCGTTTGCGTATGAAGAGAAGAGAAAGTGAGAAATGCGGAGTGTTACACTAACCTTCCGCTGAGAGAGGAACAGTAAGGCACCACATGTATTCCTAGAGGCCCTTGTTCTCCTGAAATCTCCACCGTCCTTGTGAGGCTGCATACACACAAGAACAAAACCCATCAATTACAATATTAAGAAGTCAGAAGGCACAACACAATCCCGTGTAAACTCACTGTCTCCTGGCCCTCAGATCTCTCACACGCGCGGGTGCCGAGCCGCCGTACATGTCTGTGCTAGTCAGCTCTCTAGCACATGATCTGGTTTTCCAACATACCCTGCTGAAATAGTTTCCATGTTGCCTGCCTTTCTGACTTGTTTTCAAATGTTCCTCTTTTTTCCCTGTTTTCCCCTTTTTCAGCAGTTAATGTTCTTGGCATGTGGTGTGATGATATAGCGGGAGTGTAAGTGGATAACTGTGGACAGAATGGTCCGTTGCACTGCTGCACCGATCATTCGCCTTTAATCCACAACTAATAGCTCTTCATGGTGGAATATTTGCAGTCATACATGAGCGAGTACAGTGAGACACTGCAGGAGCTGGATGAAAGCGTGAGAGAGAGAAAGACAGGCTGAGACCAACCGACAATGGATTTGAAGTAAACATGACACACCAAACTGTTATAAAGCATTTTATGAAACGGATAAGTCTGGAAGCTGATTGGTTAGTGCAGTATTTCATGTTTGGCTGGTTAGTTCCCATTAGCCCCTGCTGGTATATGCTGTAACTACACCATCTGTTCCCAAAAAGCAGCTTTCTCCATTGATCTGTGCAAGCAACAAATAAACCAAAAAAACACTGACCTGTCACTGTATGGATTTTTTTTTTTTTTGGAATACTATGAGAATAAAATTAAAATTTTCTTTTAACTATCACATATACAGTAAAAACATTAATACTGAGAAATATTACTACAATTTATATAAATGATAATTTATTAAAATAGTTTTCTATTGTAATATAATATAAAAAAAATCATAATACTGTTTGAAAAATTGTGGTTGGTAAGATTTTAAATTTTATTAAATTATTTACATACAGTACAAAATAATATTATGAAATATTATTGCATAGTCTTCAGTGCCACATGATCCCTCAGAAATAATTCTAAACGAATGAATTACTGCTCAAGAAACATTTCTTACTATTATCAATGTTGACAGTTGTTTTGCTTAATATTGTTGTGGAAACCTTAATCTTTAATCAAATTAATCGTTGGTGAATAGAAAGTTTCAAAGAACAGCATTTATTTGAAACAAAAATCTTATAACATTATAAATGTCACTTGATCAATTTAATTAACCTTGCTGAATAAAAGTAGTAATCTCTTTCAAAACAAAACAAAATGTTAGACCTCAAATGTTTCAATAGTAGTATATTTTAATAAACTACAAAAAAAACAAATTAAAATTTCACCAACTGAATGCATAAGACAGACATAAGGCAACAACTGAGACTGTCAAAAGCAAACTAACTAAAATCTGGAACGAAGTGAATGTGTTTCAGAGCACTTCAGCTTACGTGTGTGCCACTAGTTTAGACTCGCATGTCGTCTGGAAGTGAATGTGTAACCAAAACTGTCTCTACTGCTGCTGTTTATTTATCTCTGCTTATTTTACAGTTAATTTTCTTGATCAGAAATTGATGATACAACTAGTAGCACTTAACAGAGAATGAGTGAGAGCCAGTCTGCATTGAAACAACAAGAACAATGGTTTATAAAGTTTGATGCACTTGAAATAGTGTGCACACTACATACTAAAGGGGCGGTCACACTGCACTTTTCATTCCATTGACTTCCATTCATACGCATGCGAATGCTTCAGACCGGAAACGCAAACTCGTGCGAAAAATTTCGCATTTCGCTGCGTTCCAAAGTTCAAGTTTGGTGAACTGAATTTGCATCACGTGAAGACGTGTGACCAGTAGAAGATCGATACATCACTGCGTGACCTCTCTGTATAGAAATTCAAAAATGGAGGAAGCGCTCATTTTAGCCGTAGTGCAGCGTCCTATTTTATATAATACATCTTTAAAAGATCATAAAAATCAAATAAAAAAAAAAGAAGCTGCATGGTTCGCAGTGTCAATGGAAACAGGAACAGATATTTGAATGTGGACACATTTTATTATTTTTTATTGCTTAGTGTGTATGTACATATATAAATATATATGAGAGAGAGAGAACAATATAATTACAATACACAAGTGTATTATTAAATTACTTAATGTTGTTCCATATTTCATATTTATATTATCACTCATTTTAAAATTAATTTTGCACACCACAGGAACTTATAAAATGACCTATTTAAAGGGGAAAAACCTACAGCACTTAAAAAATTCTCCTCTCCAGACGCTTTCGACGCCGTCGCAAAAGATACAGTACAAGCACATAGGAATGTTGATATTCTCTGTATTTTTATATTTGGTACCTTGGCATTAATTGGCTAATTATTGGCTTTATTTAAAAAAAAAAAAAAAATAGCACATCGGAATCCATTTTGTGATAACTGAGGGGAAACCTTAGCGCGTGATGTCATATCCTGCTCCCGCCCATATTCGCAGCGGCGTCCGAAAAAATTTAGCACGTTCAAAGTCTAGTGTGACCGCCCCTTAAGCCCTAAAGAGCTCACCCTTATGCCGAGTTCAGACTGCATGATTTTTGCCCGATTTTTCACTCGCCGACAGGTTTTGCGAAATCCCCGACAAATGCCCAAAATCGGAGGAAAATTGGTGCTCGTTCACGCGAGTGACAATCACGCAGTGTGAATTATCAAAGATGCGATCTGAGGGAATCGCCGATGCGGCGCTGACGCCCGTGAAATATTTGGCATACTAAATATCTGGAGCTGTCGACGATTCACAATCACGCTGTGTGAAATGAGTTCTGACTGAAAAACACATCGGCGATGACCTACAGCCAATGAGAGACCAAGATACAGGGCAGCGGGAAGTTCGGGGATGAGTTATATGAAACGTAGTTTGCGGACCAGTGTTGCCAAATCTGCGATTTCCGCCGGTTGTTTTTTACGTCAGCAGGTTGAAGCGACCCCAATAACGTGATATTTAGGCCCTGGAATGTGAATTGTACCAGGAGAACCCCACCAAAAAAAAATTGTATTTTAACCCCCGAACGCGATTTTTACTGGGGGACCCCCTCGAAAGCAATTGGGCTATTTTCAGGCTAGTTTTGAGTAGTAATTGGGCGGGTTTTGTAGCGAAAACCTACACCAGACAGAGCTGTCGGCGATTATTCCTATTGTGAAGTCATGCAATGTGAAACCCCCTGTCGCCGATCCATCATGCAATGTGAACATAGCAGCAACTGAATGCTACCCCAGATAGTCACGCAGTGTGAAAACAACGGCGATCCGACGAGTTTGAAAATTGTGCAGTGTGAACTCGGCATTAGCTAGTTCTGAGACTTAGCCTAATGTTTATGATCAGCCCTGAAATAACTTCAAATACAACAAATGCTCAAATTCAAGGCTAAACTCTCGGAGGGGATTAATTTAACTTTGAATAGTCAAGAAAACTTGAACATCGAGAAGGGAAAAAAACAAACAGTTTTAAAAAATGAGAAGTGCTGGGGACACTGCTATTCTTACAATGAAGTACATGTCATTATGCCTGCCACTGATTACAAGGTCATGAGGAACAAATACAACACACTCCAGCAATCAAAGAGAACAACACTGCTACAATAACCCCTCATTTATAATACTGTGGCCAAATACACAACTGGACAAAAGTTTGGGGTCGGCAGAGGTTTTTTTTTTTTTATGTATTTTGAAGACATCTCTTATGCTCACCAAGGCAACATTTATTTGATCAAAAATACAGTGAAAACAGTATTATAGTGAAATATCATTTCAGTTTAAAATACATCTGATTAGATTTTAAAATGTAATTTATTCCTGACATGGCAAAGCTGAATTTTCGTCATCATTACTCCAGTCTTCAGTGTCACATGATCCTTCAGAATTTATGCTGATTTGCTGATTTGGTGCTGAAGAAACATTTATTATTATTATCAATGCTGAAAACAGTTGTGCTGCGCCTTTTAAAAGAGATTGTGAGATTGTGAATCATTTGTTTTCAGGATTCTTTAAAGAATTGAAAGTTCAAAAGAACAGCATTTGCTGGAATAAAGAAATATTTTGTAAAATTATAAATGTCTGTCACTTTTGATCAATGATCAAGTCCTTGTTGAATAAAATATTAAAGGGGTCATGAACTGAAATATCTAAATTCCCTTGATCCTTTGACACGTAAGAGGTCATTGTACTATAAAAACATCCTGTACGTTTCAGAACTCAAAACTTCCCAGTAAGTCTAAAAACTGCTTATATTGAAGCCAATCTGGCGGAATGTGCCGCTCTATGACGTAACAGTGTGGCTAAACCCCGCCTCTGCAGAAGATCATCAACACCTGCTTCTACATCACTGCATGTTTAGCTCCGCCCACCGATTCACACATGTAGTGTAAATAACAAGAGAGGCAAACGCAGAAACCAAACGATAAACATGCTGTTCAGTGCCAAGTTGTGGAAAAACACAGTCTTTGCATTGCTTTCCTTCTGATCCCAACATTAGAAAAGAGTGAATGAACTTTATTTTTAATGAATATCCAGACCGCCTCAGTAAGAACTTGGTCCTTTGTTCACTTCATTTTTAGGGTTGTGACGGCGAGGAAATTTTCCCACCGGTTAATCGACGTGTGACAACACCGGTAATACCGGTATCACCGCGGGGCGTTCTCTCTTTTCCTCGCTTTTAAATAGCTTGTAAAAGCGTTGTGCACATTTTACTTTCACTTTGAAATAACGGCAATTCGGAGTAAAGCAATTGTTCGGTTGAATTTTCCCTCTTTTCCTCGCTTTCCGTCGCTTTTAAATAGCTTTAAAGCACCGTGCGCATTTTACTTTCACTTTTGAATTAGCGGCAGTTCGGCATCAATTGCTTGAATGCAACAACAAAATACAATGTCAAACTCACTTTAGCCTATATATAAAACATAGAACTTTTATTAACAAAACAAATACATGCTATAGGGAAGGCTATGCCTAATATAAAATAACAAATAACTTAC